TCCTCCTCCCTCCCTCCTTCCTCCTTCCTCCTCCCTCCATCCTTACTCCTTCCTCCTTCCTTCTTCCTCCTTCCTTTTTCCTCCTCCCTCCCTCCTTCCTCCTTCCTACTTCCTCCTTCCTCCTCTCTCCCTCCCTCCTTCCTCCTTCCTCCTTCCTCCTTCCTCCTCCCCCCCTCCTTTCTTCCTCCTCCTTCCCTTCATCCTCATTCCTCCTCCCTCCTCCCTCCCTCCTTCCTTCTTCCTTCTTCCTCCTCCCTCCTTCCTCCTTCCTCCTCTCTCCCTCCCTCCTTCCTCCTCTCTCCCTCCCTCCTTCCTCCTTCCTCCTCCCTCCCTCCTTCCTCCTCCCTCCTTCCTCCTTCCTCCTTCCTCCTCTCTCCCTCCCTCCTTCCTCCTTCCTCCTTCCTCCTCTCTCCCTCCCTCCTTCCTCCTTCCTCCTTCCTTTCCTTCTTCATTCTCTCCTTTCTTTCTTCCTCGATTCCCAGTTTTCCTTCCCCTCCCCTTCCCTTCTATCTATTCTCCTTCCATCCTTTCACTTTACTTTTATCCACCCCTTATCTCTTCCTCTCGTCCTTCCCCATCTTCTCTTTCCCTCTTCCCTCCCCCCCCCCCTTTCAACCGTCCAACTCCCTCTCGTCTTTCCTTGAAGTTGACATTTTCTTCTTCCTTTTCCTCCTTCTCCTCTTCGCCACCTCCTCATCTTCCTTATCTTTACCTGCCTCTTAATTTTTTTCTTCTCCTCCCCTCTCTTCATTCCTCACTCTCTCTCTCTTTTCTCCTCCTCTCTTTCTTTTCCTACCCTCCCATCTCTTCCTTCTCCCCCTCCTCCCAACCTTTTCATCTCTCTTCCTTCCTCTCAATCTTCCCTTCTTTCTTCTCCTTCCCCTCTCCCTCTCCCCCCTCCCCTCTTTCTCCTTCTCTCCCTCCCCCCTTTTTCTCCCTCTCCCTCTCCCGTTCTCCTCCCTCCTCCCTCCCCCCCTTCTGCTCCCTCTCCCCTCCCCTCTTCTCCTCCCTCCCCCCCCCTTCTCCTCCCTCCGACACCCGCTGAGCCCCCGTCGCGTTGCATATTGCATTTCTGGCGTTGCAATATTGCCACCGAGGGGCATACGGGACCTCATAAAGTCGAGACGTCGCTCGTGACTTTTGTTATATATTCAGCCTCTCCCCTCTCCCTCTCTCTCTCTCCCCTCCCTCATCCTCTCCCCTCCTTTCCCCTCTCTCCTCTCTCCCCTTCTCCCCCTCCTCGTCCCTCTCCCCATCTCTCTTTACTCCAGCATGTCATCTGCCTTGTCTCTCTTTCTCTTCTTCTTTCTCTTTATCCTTTCTTTTCTTCTTCCCACTCCACCTTCTCTTTTCTCTCTCAGCCCTCTTCCTCTCTTCCATATAATCTCTCTCCCACCTCTTATTTTCCCCCACTTTCCCTTCTCTCCCTCTCTCTTCCCTCTTTCTCATTTCTCCCTCATCCCCTCCTCCCATCTTTCTTCCTTTCTATTTTTCTTCTTCTCTTCTTTCCTCCTTCCTCTCCTCTTCCTTTCTTTATGTTTTCTTCTCTTTTCTTTCCATCTCCTCCTTTTCCCTTATCTTTATTCCTCTCTCCTTCTCTCTCATCCTCATTCCTCCCTTTCCCCTCTTCCCTGATCAAGGAAAGGAGAAAAGAAAAGAGAAACAGGAGGAAAAGAGAAAGAGAGAAGAGGGGCAGACATACAGATAACAAAAAGGAATTGGAGATAATGAAGAGAAGGAGAAGGAGGAAGTGTATGAAAAGGAGGAGAGAGAAAAGCAATGAAAATGATAGTAATGAAAATAATGATATTGACGTTAGCGATGATAGTGATGATAAAAATAATGTTAGTGATGATTGTGGTTATGATAAGGATTATAATGATAATTATAATAATGATCATGATGATAATAAAAAAAAAATAATGATGATAATAACAAAAAAATATAATAATGATGATAATAAAATTTTTAATATCAATTATGATAATAAGAATTATAATATTAATTATGATAATGATGGTGATAAAGATAATAATAGTGCTACAACAACTGATAATAATAATTACTATTGTCATAATATTAACAATAATGATGATGATGACGATGATGATGATGATGATAATAGTACTACTACTACTACTACTACTACTACTACTTCTACTACTACTAATAACAATGATGATAATGATGATAATGATAATAGTAATTATGATAACAATAATAATAATTATAGTAATATTAATAACATCATAATAATAGTAATAACATAAACAGTAATGACAATAGATATACTAATGAAAATGATAACGATGACTATTATGGTAATCATAATAGTAACAATGATTGCAATAAAGATGATAATGATGATTAGAATAACAACAGCATTGATAATGAGAACAACACTACTAATTATACAAATGCTAATAGCCCAAAAATTACTGATAATAATAACGATACCAAGAAAAAAAATACAGCAGTGATGTGATAAAAGCAATACTAACGATATTACAACAACAACAAGGCCAACAATAACAACAACAACAACACAAACATCATTACCAATATTGATGACAAACTCCGAATACCAATTTGAAATTTCCCGCCAACCGAATTCCAATATGGCGTCCGGGTGCGCCTCCTCCGTCTGACATTAAATATTGTAGTAAAAGAACCTGCTACCAGAGGTGACTCGCTGTAAAACGCGGATAATAAGACCAATGAAAAAAGTTAGTTATGAAATTTGTATGAGTTTTACGCTCGTGCCAAATTGAACTGCGCCATCTTCCTTCGCGCGCGCTCTCTCTCTCTCTCTCTTTCTCTCTCTCTCTCTCTCTCTCTCTCTCTCTCTCTCTCTCTCTCTCTCTCTCTCTCTCTCTCTCTCTCTCTCTCTCTCTCTCTCTCTCTCTCTCTCCCACTCTTTAACTCTTTCTCTTTCTGCTCTCTCATTCTCTGTTTTTTCTCTTTGTTTTTTTTCTTTGTCTTTTCTTCATTATGCTCTCTCTTTTTGTTATGACTTTCGAGTTATTTTTCTGTCCATTTTCTCTCTCTTTCATTCCTCATTCCCCCATTCTCTGTCAGTCTGTGTTTCTCTTTTTTTTTCTCTCTCTCTCAGTCTCTGTTTGTCTCTGCTTCTATCTCTCTCTGTCTGTTTGTCTCCCTCCTTTGGCCCTCCCTCCCTCCCTCCTCTCTTTCTCTCCCATCTAAGTTTTCCCTTTTCTCTTCTTACTTTTTCTATATAAGTATTATATATTTTTTCTAATCCGTTTATGTGTCTATTAACCCCGTTTTGAATATATGAGTGCTATTATTATCGCCATTACCTTTAATCTTAATTTGTATTTTTAGTTCGTTTTTTTTCTCCATAATTCTATCCTCGCATTAGCTAATTACTTAATTCCCTTTCATAATTTCCTTCATTTCTACGACATGCCTCTCTTAATAAATCGCACTCGGCAGTTTTGATAACCAACAATATTCAGTAATTAGCATTTTAATCCTCCTAAAGTGTCTTCCATTATTTTTTTTTCTGTAAGTAAATTCACACCCACTCTCGCTTTCCGTCGAATACCAACTTTCCCATCACTAGGGTCTCGACAGTGGTTACCATGGCAACGATCTCTCAGGCGCATTGGGTAGCAAGTACTTTATTTTCAATGGGAACGGCGCTGTCATCCTTTGTGTTATGTTGTAGTTATTATTATTGCTATTGTTATTATAATTCTTCTTCTTTTCATTATTATTATTGCTATTGCTATTATAATTCTTCTTCTTCTTATTATTATTATTGCTATTGTTATTATAATTCTTCTTCTTCTTATTATTATTATTGCTATTGTTATTATAATTCTTCTTCTTATTATTATTATTATTGCTATTGTTATTATAATTCTTCTTCTTATTCTTATTCTTCTTATTATTACTGTTGTTGTTATTGATGTTGTTTTTGTTGTTTTCTTTATGATTATCATCAGAATTATCATTATCATTATCATTGATCATGTTGTTATTGTTGTTATTATTATCATTCTTATCATTATTCTTATTGTAGTTGTTGTTATTATTATTACCATCATCGTCATCATCATCATTATTATCGTTATCATTGTTATTATTATCATCATCATCATTATTATTATTACTATTATTATTATTATCATTATCATTACTTCTACTACTACTATCATTATTATTATACTTGTTGTTATTATTTAATTTATCATCTTTATTATCATTGCTATCATTATTTCGTCATAATCACTATTATCATCATTATCATTATAATCATCATCATTATTATTATTATCATTAAGATCATCATTATTTGTAGTATCATTATCATTATTATTGTTGCCATTACTAATATTGTCATTATTATTATTATCATTACTATTATCATTATCTTCCTTTTTATTATCAATATCATTATAGTTGCCATCATTGACATCATTCTCATAATTATTACTACTATCATTATTACTCTTTTCATTATAAATGTTATTATCATGATCATTTTCATCTTCATAATGATCATTACTTTATGATGATTATTATTATTAACTATCGTTATCATTATTACTATTATTTCTATTAACATTATAATTGTCATTATTATTATCATCATTATCGTTGTTATTATCTTTATCTTTATTATTAACATTATTGTCATCATTGTTATTATCATTATTACTTGTTATTATTACTATTATCATTATCATTATTGTTATTAGCATTGTTTTCATTGTTATTGTTTTTTATCATTTTTATCATTATCAAGACCTGTATTATTATCATTATGATCATTATTGTTGTTGTTTTTTTATCATTACTGCTACTATTATTATTAGGGAGAAAGATAGGAACCTAAGGGGGGGGGGGGGGGACATGGGAAGAGATATTGATACTTTTGTTTAGCCGATATACATATGGGCAGCTTGGCATACACAAAGAACCCATGGAGAGAGGAACCCAGGCTTAAGAAACCCACGGAAATATAGAAAGCCATGGCGAGAGGAAATCCATGGCGAGAGGAAACCCAGGGGGAGAGGAACCCAGGTTTAAGAAACCCACGGGAAGACGAACCCAGGCCGAACGGAAACCCAGTGGGAGAGGAACCCAGGCCGAACGGAAACCCAGAGGGAGAGGAACCCAGGCCGAACGGAAACCCAGAGGGAGAGGAACCCATGGCGAGAGGAAACCCATGGCGAGAGGAAACCCAGGCCGAGAGGAACCCAGGCTTAAGAAACCCACGGGAAGATAGAAACCCATGGCGAGCGGAAACCCAGGGGGAGAGGAACCCCGGCCGAGCGGGAACCCAGGGGAGACGAGCCTGGGGGAAGATAGAAACCCATGGCGAGCGGAAACCCAGGGGGAGAGGAACCCCGGCCGAGCGGGAACCCAGGGGAGACGAGCCTGGGGGAAGATAG